TCACAGGAGGATCAACACAGGAAGAACAGACACAGGAGGAACAGGACTAAGAGGAGGATACACTGACACAGGTAAGGGAGGTGATGAGATTTCTGGTGAAGGATTCTCCCCCTGAAGATGAGGACCTTGGAAAAAAGACTCAGATTCCTGAAATGTAACATCCATAGAAACAAAAAATTTCCTACTACTAGGGTGATAGCACTTGTAGCCCTTCTTATCAGGAGCATAACCAAGAAAAACACATTTAATAGCCCTAGGGTCCAACTTACTGCGATGATGTTTATGAACATGAACAAAAGCAACACATCCAAACACACGTGGAGGAAGACTCATAATTGGAATAGAAGGGAAAAAAGAAGTCATAGAGTGAATAGGACTTACATGGTCAAGTACACGAGTGGGTAAACGGTTGATCAAGAAAGCTGCAGTAAGAATAGCATCTCCCCAATAGTATTTGGGTACATGTGTCTGAAACATTAATGCACGAGCCACTTCAAGAAGGTGGCGATTTTTTCTTTCAGCAACCCCATTCTGTTGGGGGGTGTCAACACAAGTAAGTTCATGAATCATACCGTTATTTCTTATAAATTGGGAAAAACTGTGATTAACATATTCAGTACCATTATCTGTTCTTAATCTCTTGATTTTTTTACCAAACTGGGTCTCAACCATTTTATAAAATTGAAAGAACAGTTGTGGTACCTCAGACTTTTCATGCATTAAGTACACCCAAGTTACACGAGTGCAATCATCAATAAAAGAAACAAACCATCTATTTCCAGAAGCATGAGGGACTTTAGAGGGACCCCAAACATCAGAATGAATAAGATCAAAAGGTTCAACACTCTTAGTAATACTAGAAGGAAAAGACACACGATGATGCTTAGCAAATTCACAAACATCACAATGAAAAGACTCAACAGACTTAGACAAAAACAATGACGGAAATAAAGATTTGAGTAAACTAAATGGAGGATGACCTAAGCGCTTATGATGAAGCCAAATCAAAGAATCAGCAGTTGATTGACCATGAGACATCAAGATGTGATCTGTTACTTTATTTGCAGGAGATTGTGACACCAGATAGTACAACCCACCATGCTCTTTAGCACTACCAATCGTCTTCCCCGTGGCGAGATCCTGAAAAACACAATGGGTAGGATAGAAGGTTACAGTACAATTCAAATCTTTTGTAATTTTATGAATCGAAAGAAGATTCGTGGAGAGTTTAGGAACATGAAGAACATCCTTAAGATGTAAGGACTGCTGTAAGTTTATGTCACCAGAACCCGCAACTGATGTATGAGAGCCATCAGCTACGGCTATTGTATGAGTTCCAATGGTAGGATGATAAGAAGTAAAGGAGTCAGCACAACAAGCCATATGATCAGTAGCACCAGAATCAACAACCCAAGAATGTTTAAAATCATTACATGAAGAAATGAAAGAATAAGTTTTGGAGCTCATACCAGTCATAGTCAAAGTACTAGTATCAGATGACTTACTTAAAGAATCAAGGAGGGTTCGGAGCCGTTCCAACTCATCTGGACGAAATGCAGAATTTATTTTCGAGGAAGTAAAATGCTGTTGACCATGCATCCTATTCATCTTTTCTAAGACAGTTTGCTTTCCATGGAGGCGAAAGCATAGATCCTTGATATGACCTGTTCTTTTACAATAAGAACACCATCGATCATCTCTCTTAGGTTCAGAAGTTGCACCATCAGAAAACTTTGTAAGAGGCCATACTGCACAAAACTTGTCAAAGAATAGCACCAAGAAGCCAAAAAATCACAAACAAATACTAAACAACGTCAGATCTGACCGGAACAGTAACACAGCGGCCGAAACAGTAACACAGTGGCCGGAACAAATACCAAACAACGTCAGATCTGGTCGGAGGCAAGAAATTGGTGAAAGAACAAACTCCAAGAAGCCAAGAAATTCGGAAAAAAATACCAAACGATGTCCGATCAAAGTGGAGAGCACAGATCCAGAGCCGGCTTGGAGAGACGATCAGAACCGTGGTGGTCCGCGGCCGAGAACCACCGTCACGCGCCGTCACGCGCCGGTGAAGCTGGCGGCGCGTGGGATTCACGCGCAGAGACAAGGGCGGCGCGTGGAGGCGCGTCTGACCTCCGATGGTGCTGGGTTTTTCAGGCTAAGGTCGTCCGGCGAGCGCGATGGTTTCTGTGGCTGTTCGGAGTGAAGAATCCGCCGGAAAAAGAGTCCAATCGCGATGAACAGGTTCTGTACGGTGGTTCTAAGTTTTGAGCGTTGATTTTGTGAACGTTTTTTTTTCTTGTTGTGTAATAGACAAGGAAAAAGAAAGAGGAACAGTGAAGCAATGGTCTTCTCGGTCCAAGAGGTCCCCGGAAAAAAAATTCCGGTGGCGGCTGATGGCAGCGAGAGACGTAAAAAAGAATAAAAAAGGTTTCGTAGGCGCGGAAGCAGAGCCCTCAGGATCGAGAGCTCTGATACCAACTTGAAAGAAAAGGGTATTTGAAATATTATTGAATTGTGTAAATAATCTGTACAAAGAAGTCTCTATTTATAGAGAATGAAAACCCTAATACTTGACCTAATTCTTAACCTAATGGGCTTGGCCCAATACAACAAATACTAATAATAATAATAAAATAACAAATATTTACAACATCAGTTTTCACTTTTCTGTTCAAGTGATTCTGACAATATCTACCAGAGCTTTTTTTTTCCCTTATGTTTTCTTCTGAGCTGGTAAGAAAAAACCTTTTTAAAAAATGCAGAGGTAAGACTATATACAAGGATTTCCCTCACCCCTACCCTCACAAAAATGCATAGGTGAGGCTACATACAAGAATTTCCCTCAACCCTACTCTCACAAGTTGTGGTTTTGTGGGGAGTGATTTTTTATTTTTTTTAATGAGCTGGAACATTTATTTTTTATTTACACAGATTTGCATAAGTTTTCACTAATCATAACGTTTAAGAAAGTAATACAGACAAGTAGTTTTTACCATAATTGGATATAACCTGTAATGAACATAATTCAAATTCTGAAGGGGATAACCAGTGGTACTTACAACTGAATATTGCTAGCAATACTGATATTATCTATCTATCAATCTCGCTGTCTGTCTATATACACATAAAAACCATTCTATAACTCAAAAGGGTAAAGATTCTATCTGCAATCTTAAACTTTCTATCTTTCTTGTATATCCAAATTTCTACACAAAAGTGGTCCGAAGCTGACACCACTAATTCATCACTTCTGTCAACAGACTGGAAAACTCACTCTACAAAGTGATGTTTATGCATTTGGTGTTGTTCTTCTGGAGCTTTTGACAGGACGTCGAGCTGTAGATCTAAACCAGGGTCCAAATGATCAAAACCTTGTACTACAGGTAGGTGGGAAATGTATGTGTGTGTCTGTGTTAATTGGATAATGATCCTTAGGGATGTCAAATTAAGCTATTGATTCTTGAAAATTGCCATAATGTTTTTATTTTTTTTTTTTTTTTTCATTCCATTGGTCATAAAAATACAAGTAACTAGTTATCTTCCGTTGCTTCTTTCATATTGCAAAATGCTTTTTAGACATCCTTGATGATCACTTTCCTTATGTGTGAATGTGTCTATATTTACACACACACATATATATATATATATGGGAGAATCAGCTTACACCGGTGTAAAAGTAAAAGATCTTATATTAATCTTAGTTGTTGATCTCATTTTCTTTTAAACGTAACTAATAAATTAGAGCGCTTAAATGGAAGTGAGATCAATGATTAAAATTAAATATAAGAATTCTTATTCTTACACTAATATAAGCCGATATATATATAGGGAAATGTTATATTTACATATTTTTTGTTTACAAATTACGCTATATTCTCTCGGGAGAACACTAGGTTACACTATGTTCTCCCAGGAATACATAGTATAATTTGCAAAAATTTGTAAAAAAAGTTTGTAAACGGATCCTTCCCCACATATATATATATATATATAGGGGAAGGATCCGTTTACAAATTTTTTAACAAATTACAATAAGTATGACCGGTCATACACTCTTGATTGAAGTATGACCGGTCATACATAGTGTAGTTTGTAAGAGTTTGTAAACAAAAAGTTTGTAAATATAATATTCCCCATATATATATATATATATATATATATATATAGGGGGGGAAAACATTTCTGCAGCCACTTTAGATAAGGTTGTCTACAGCTACCCTTTTTTCACTAAGTACGACCGATCGTACATTAAAATTGCATTTTCTCTCTCCGCTACGTCAGCCGACAATGTCTAAGGAAAGAGAAAAAAAGGAACAGTTTTATTGTTATAACTAAGTACGACCCGTCGTACTTAGTGAAAAAGAAGTAGTTGTGGACAATCTTATCTAAAGTGGCTGTAAAAATACCTTTCCCACATATATATATATATATATATATATATATATATATATATAGAGAGAGAGAGAGAGAGAGAGAGAGAGAGAGAGATCCACACATATATATACATTTCTGTGGTTCGCAAGTCTAAACGGTTAGATAATTACAACTGAAAGACTTTACTATGTTTGACATTTATATACAGGTGAGGCATTTACTGAATGACCGCAAGAAGCTTCGTAAGGTGATAGATCCAGAGATGGCTCGAAATTCTTACACTCTTGAGTCTATATTCATGTTTGCCAATCTGGCATCACGGTGTGTCCGTACTGAGAGTAATGAGAGACCTTCAATGGTAGAATGTGCCAAAGAAATCCAAATGATTATCTATACAAATTCAAAAGGTTTGGGGATGGTTCTGCATAGCTTGAGAACAGCCTAAATAAATCCTAAAAGTTTAGATTCCAGTATTATGATGATTTCTTATCCATCAATAAAAAATACTTAAATTACCTCTATTCATCGTAAGTTCTTCAATTCATTTTTAGACACCAAACTGGGTAATGTGACATGGAAGTATTGATTTTTTTTTTATAGCATTAGTAATTTTGATGATGGAATAGGAGTCAAGGAAATCAATCCATGGTGGACAAAGTAAAGGTGCATTTCCAATTTCCATGACAAGAACAAACTACTTCACTGCAAAATCTCCTCTTTCCCCCTAATATTATTATTTTCTTTTGGAATGATTGGCTTGTTTCCATAGATGGGCACATTGTTCAAATGAAGAAATTTATATATGAACCTTAAAATTAATTAATTAATATATATATATATATATATATATATATATATATATATATATATAAATCAGAATTTTGATTATAATGAAGAAAGAACCATGTATCTAACATGGTAGGCTTTACTTATTTATTTATTTTTACAAATTATCAGCTTCGCAACCTTTAAAGCCAATTGACTGTCAAAAGAAGAAAAGTTAATCAAGAATTTAGAAAAAAAATAAAGCTAATTTTTTATTTTTATTTTTTTAAAAAAGGTAATTTTTTTCACAGCATCAAATAATCCAACTATCCCTCTAATTTTCCCATGCACATAACAAGGTGACCATAGCATTTATATCTAAAAAAAAGAGTTTATCAATATTTGTCACTTGACTTCCGGAATCCATAAACTTGAAAAAAGACTTTTATTAAAAAAATTTCACTGGCCTTATTTGCTTCAATTCCGTAAGAATGAGTTATTGAAGAAAAAGTATTTCTTTTAGGGTGTGCATGACAACCTTCCCAGAATCAATTCTTTTTTAATTTCTGTTCCCGGAAACAGAAATGGATAGGAAACTCGTTTGGTAAAACCGGTTTATTTTTTTGTTCCCGGGATGAACCGGTTTAATTTTTGTGCTGGGGAACAGAAAAAAGAATCAGAAAATTTCTATTTTTTTATTCCCGGGCACAAAATGAGAAACACTTATCTCTCTCAATCATTCTCCACCTTTACCATCATCACCACTAGTGCCGTCGTCACCACCCCTCACCACCACGATGCCATCGCCACCATTACCACCACCTCCACCCATCACTACCACCATGCTACCATCACCACCACCACAACTACCACCGCTGCCACCACCACTACCACCATTATCACCATCACCGTCACCACCACCATCACTACTACTGCCATCAACCACCACCACCATTATTGCAACCATTGTCGTCACCGTCACCATCGCCATCACATGCAACTGCCACCACCCCCATCGCTACCACCACCACGACGCCACCACTACCATCACCACCACTGTCACCAACCACCACTACCATTGCCGCGGCCACTACTGTCACCACCACTGCCGTCGCCGCCGCCACCAACCACCACCATCATCGTCACAGCCATTATCGTCACCACCACCACCATTACACCACCCCCGCCACTACCATCACCACGCCATCGCCACCACTACCACCATCACCACCACCATTGTCACCTATCACCACCGTCGCAGCCACTGCCACCACCACCACCATAATGCCTTCACAACCACCACCTCCATGCCACTGCTACCATTGTTGCCGCCACCAACCACCATTGTCGCAGCCACTGCCGTCACCTCCACCACCACCATCCCCACCACTACTGCCGCCGCCGCCATCATTACCACCGCCATTGTCGCAGCCACTGCCATCACAACCACCACCACTATCTTCACCACGTCACTGCCACCACCACTACCGTATCGCCGCCGCCACCATGCCACTCACCGCCACCACCACCACAACCACACCATATGGAAAGGAAAGTGATGATCCGAAATTTTTTTATATTTAATAGGAATTATTTTTTATTATATTATTTGTTGTGTTATCAAACACAATTCTCGTTCTCGGAATAAAAATAGAACATGTTATCAAACACATTTTTTTTCTTAGAAACTGTTCTAAGGCATAGAAATAGAAAAGAATTGTTTCTTTTCAGAAACACTGCTAGGGAATAGAATGGTTGTCATACACATCTTTAGAATTCTTATTATCAGATAAAACTGAAAGATATAAAAAGGAAAGTGTGGGCAATGAATGAGATACACTAAATATTGAACCTTGCATAAAGATCATATAAAGATCATGCACATCTTTAGAATTCTTATTGAATCTTTGGAGGGTAGTAAGGCGTAGAGAGGGGGTAACGAAAGAATTGGGGTAGTTTTGGGCAATATGGAGAAAGCTGACCTCTTAGAGTGTAGAGACTGTACCTTTCTGTTCCATTTTTACTTTTCTCTTATTATTCTGTGCAATCTGTATCACACCATGCAATTTCACCAAATTTAATTACATGGTTATTCCAATTCTTGTGTTTTGTTGTTAGCTCCATTCTGTGTTTTCTTCTATTTTTACTCTGATACCCATTAGTTTATTGCTTGAATGGTTTATTACACACTAAGGCCCTATTTATAAGTGATTCTCAATAACTAACCTACTGATTTGGTACAACATCCTAACTAGTCTAACTGCCTTAACTATTCCAACTCTACACTGTTATCCGTTGTGTTTGGCCCATAACGTTACACTCAAAGATCTTCTAACCATAACATCCTAATCCCCTTTGAAACTTTTGAAAGGGACCTTGTTCACATAGTCCAAGAACTTGAGATCATCCCGGACGCACGTTGAATGCATATGCAGTGTAATCTGGCTGTCTACACCAATTAAAGAATGTTCTTGAAGTCTTTTTCATCTCCCTGGGTGAAAACACACCATGAAATATCTGAACATACAGCAAAATCCCATGAAAAGAGATGGTCCAGCTCTTAGATTCTCATAGAAAAGAGAAATGAACGAAAAAAAATTAGAAAATGTTTATTGCTTAAATGGTTTATCGCACACGAAGGCCCTATTTATAGTGATTCTCAATAACTAACCAACTAATTTGTTACAACTTCCTAACTACTCCAACTGCCATAACTATACCAACTCTACACTGTTATGTATTGTCTTTTGATTCAAATTTATGGTGATGCTTACTTAGACCTATATGAGGTTAACGTTAATGTATAGAAGTTTCACAATGAATAAGAATTTAACCCACTTTTAGTAACACTTTCTCCCTAAAAGGCAAAAACCCATCATACTATCGGAGTGAAAAAGAACAATTTCATGACAACTTTTGATGGACTATTTAGTCCAAGCACACCCCGTTTAGCCCTAACCCATGTGGGCAAGGACTAAAAAGACCATATAGACAAAAGCCCACAAGGTAAAAGAAAACCCTTAAAAAGTCATGTGGGATAAGGCCAGCCAATTGACCATATTACTACAAAAATAGCAGAGCCCGAATCAACGAACAGAATCAAATAAATAATTAATTACCATTTCTAGAATTTGTATGCCTCTGTATATGAATAGACAAATTCACAAAGATACGTTCACAAAGAAAGATAGATTACCATAACTATGTCCAACATGATATGCTCTGGGAAAGGTGATGACAAACTCTCATGGCTTCTGCACAACCTTGTACACTGCCACATCATGTTGTAACACGACATTTGGATGAATGAGATGACAACCTCTCCAGGTAAGCCATACCAAGTTTTATTAGCACCTGAGTGATGATAATTTATGCCGCAAAGAAGACATTAATATATATTAAAATCTGAGTTGAGTAATGTTAAACAATGACAGACGCAGTAAAGATAGTGTGTATAATAGGATCAATATTTCATAATATAGACAAATACTAGAACCAAAAAGTTACTCAGTACATTTAATATTAGGAAAAATAAGCTCTTTGCTGAACCTGTGCATAGGTAGTAATAGTATAGTACATATCCTACAGGGCTTCAAGTCTTTTATTACAACCTGAACTCAAAGGGACTTCTTGGGCTGACTCTTAGCTTGGATGACCTGTACAAGCCATATCCCATGAGAAAATACACCATTGGTAATAACACAGCATGAGGCTGCTCCTCTGTTACCATTGATGCACATGCTTGAACCTGTAGTTCCACCAGCAGCTATTAAATTAAAGATCATTTCAATATATACACATGATTATAACAAATAGAAATTGAACTATTTTACTCACCTCAATAAAAGAACTGAACTGTCTTTCTAACTTTGAAGTGATGTGGAGAGCCTGAGAGTGAGATGGAGACATATCCCTAAAAAAAATTAATGAACGACTATGTAATTTTCTCAATCCTTCACTTATGTTGGGTCTCCTACTGGATGCCAATACAAAGTTAAAAGAATGAAATATATCTCTAAGCTTCAGTGCCAACTACAAAGTCCTGAAAGTACGCAAAAAGAAACTGTGACTTGCAATGCTTCAGTCAACCAAATTGATAATGCATTGCTGTGGCGTTATAGGCTAGACCACCCAAATTTTCTTTATATGTAAGTCTGTATCGTGATTTACTAAATATAAATTCATAAAAATTCATCTTTTCCTCCAAGTGAAATTTGCCAGTTGTCCAAGCATGTAAAAGCTTCTTATCCCATACACGCCTATTATCCTTCTAAAAAAATTTCACTTATACACGGTGACATTACAAAAACATTAAAAGGGGAGAAATCCTATGATCTGTTTTTCTATACTTCTCCCTGAATCTGAATCAAGATGATTGCAGAATCAAGAGGGACAATGGAAAACTTAAGTTACAGAAAGGTATCTCTCATAACTCCACGAAATCCAAGAGTCCAGGATCTCCCTCTCTACCTCTCCTCCAAACCCAATCTAACTCTTTATTATTTACCCTCCTACTATTTATACCATGTCACTTCTCACTCTCATCTAATTTGGTTAGGATCTCTAACTAACTAACTAATTGTTTATAAAACTGTAACTGACCTTGGTTTCATCATAGCAGAAAATGACCCAACTCCTATTTCCCCTGTGCTCGCCTTATTCCTCCTAACATACAACTTTTAAATTCGGGGTCTGCTAATAGATTTGGCCAGCTGGAAGGATTCGTCTACATTGCATCAATGTCAACCTCAAGCAAGGGGTCAATTAGAGAAAACAAAGTACATCTCATCATCAAGAGTTGCATAGATAATTATAAGCTACTAAGTTTTACCACTCTCAACAATGAAGCTAGAGATAAACACAAGAGATGGACAATGGAGTTTGTGAATTTCCCTCACTGCTCTCTAATTTTTCTTCACAATGCAAACTATTGTTATAAGGCAATGCCCTTCAGTCTCAAGAACACCCAAGACTGTTTAGCAAAGATCGATGGACAAGGTCACAAGAACAAACAACTAGAGTGGAAATCAGGCTTGCCCAATTGGGTACTTAAAGAGAAAGCTTGTTTTGCAAGGTCTTACAGCTGTAAAAATAATATAAACAAATAATAACACAGTTTTGATACATAAGTAAAAAGAATAAAACAAACTCAAACAAACACACACACACACACACACAACACACACCCACACACAGATATATAACATATATTGAAGTATTGGCACACAAATGATACGGAACAAAAATGTCAGACTTTGTCATAGCTGGGCCATGCCCACAGTCCATTGAAATTGCTGGGTATGTGGTACATGATTTTGAAATGTTTAGCCTTCTTTTCTTTAAATTGTTTTTAGTACCTAATGCCAGTAATCCAGGGGAAATTTCTTGGAAGTTGCCTAATCAACTAACTGCCTCTATTTGAACAAGTATACAGAGGTCCTGACAAACCATGTATTGCGTAAAGAATAGAACTATTGGGTCTATTTCAATACTTAACAATGCCATTTTGCCTATTCATCTACTTTTGTGCAAATTTAGCATCTGAAAATTGTCATGTTTGTACTATGTATGGCAGGCATGGTCTGGAGTAACTGCACACGTTATGCTCTTGGTATTCATTATAAGTTGTTTGTTCACGAACATAAAGTAAATGAAGTGTTTTTATAGTCAAGACAACTCATGAGCAAAATCTGTCAGCAAAAAGTGAAATTTTGTGACAATATGATTAAGTTCATAGACACTTTTAAAGCCCATAAACAATTTAAGTTCAGAGCAAGTTCTTATTTGTCTTAGGACAAAGGATGTGAAGATCTCAAGTAACAAGTAACTCCACCCCTAGTTGCTGATATCGAAGTACCCAACAATATTGAAAGAAATTAAGTACCTCTATAAGAAAATAGAAGACAAATTAAAGCCCAAGTAACCCAGCTAACAGAAAGAATTCATACCACATCATATTTATAGTCTAGCTCTAATCAGGGAATGGGTTAGTTATTAACCCAATAAATGATCTCAAGTTAACCAGAAAATAAAATCTGACACTTGTAAATAATCCCCGTTCCGCACATCAGTTTTGTTTGTTCTTCTTAAAGGTACAGTTTAGATGATAATTAGAACACACATTACAGAAACAATTACCAAGCAAGTAAACCTTAAAAACCACTTCCCATTAAATCCCGACTAGCGAGGGTATAAGTGAGGGCAATTCTTGTATACAACATTACCCTTGCATATTAGCAAAGAGACTTTTTCCAATATTCGAACCCGTGACCTTTCAATCACATATAAACCTTAAACTTTGAAAAAGCTCCAACTAATTGTGTGGCAATGACCTTAGGAAAATATCAGCAACTTTACCTCCTAAGAGCTTTTAGACATCTCATGATGCAAGCAAAAATATGCTTGTGCTTTCTAACTCTTCCCTTTCTGTGAAAATACCACAAGTAACGTACAGCCCAAACAAAAAAATAAAATTCCAGCTCTCCCAAGTCCCATCCATAATTTGTGGCAAATAAAGTCAACTATAAGAGATACAACATTCCAAATATTCATTTCAGTTTCAGCTTGATTTGCTATCTGAAACACAAACAATGAGCAATGACTAGAAAATCCTTAAAAGTAAATGAAGCAGATTGCTAGTACATTGGGAAGAAAAAGGGCAGTCATGTCATGACTAAGAAAGATAGGACATTGTTATCATTACAATATCAAGATGAACCTAACAACATAAGACTTTTAATCAAAACTAAAGAGATAGTGAGCCAATTACACTGTCCATTTTCTAATTGATGCTCACCTGGTTCTACTCCTACAGAAGGCTTCTACCAATCATATCACAAAGAAGTTTCTCTGCCTTATTATTCTCACCTATTTCAAAGAGAGCACAAATAATTGTTTCAAAAGTTACAGCATTAGGAACGCAACCATTGTCTTCCATTTTTGATAGCAAAGCCAATGCAGCATCAAACAAGCCCTCTTTACAAAGCCCCTTGATCATAACATTGTATGTCACGACACTTACACAATAGCCTTTAATCAAAAGATTCTGAAAAACCTCCTCTGCTTTCTTAAGTCTTCCACCTTTGCATAGTCCATCAATAAGTATATTGTACGTGTACACATCAGGCTGAACTCCCTGGTCTTTAAGTTTCAAGAATAATGCAATTGCCTTGTCAAGATGATGGCTTTTGCATAAAGAGTCTAATATGGAATTGTAGGTAATTATATTAGGTGGTTGGCCTCTAATACGCATATCATCAACAAGATCCCAAACATAAGGGATTCTTCCAGATTTGCACAAACCATCAATAAGAGAGCTGTATGCTACCGTATCAGGAATCATATTTTTGCAATGCATTTGTTTAAAGAGATTAATGGCTTCATCTACCATTCCAATCTTACATAATCCATTAATCATGATAGTATAGCTCCGAACATTAGGAGTCACTCCCCTTTGAGCCATGCTGTTGAATAAATATTTTGCATTGTTCACTTTATTAACTAAGCTATACCCATCCATTACTGTATTATAAGTAACAACACCAGGTTTTACACCTTCTTTCATCATCACAGTTAACACAGTTTTAGCTTCTTTGACCTTTCCTTCCTTACAAAATGCATCAACCAAAGTAGTAAAGGTATGAGCATCTGGGTTGACGTTTTTCAAAACCATTTCATTTAACATACCAATTGCCTCTTTCAATTGACCCAGAATGCAAAAGCCATGAATTAGAGTATTGAATGTGACAACATTAGGAGTAATTTTCTTGACAACCATTTCAGAAAATAAATCACAAGCATCAGTTACCAACTTATCTTTGCACAGGCCATCAATGATTGTGCTGTACATTACCACATTAGGCTTCATCAATTGCCCTTCAATTTTTCTCAACAACTGCATGGCTGCTTTTGTGTCTCCTATTTTACATAACCCATTGATCAAGGTCCCATAAGTAACATGGTTCAAATGAAATCCTTGTGCTACCACTTTGTCATGAAAGTGAAGGGCTTTTTTAACCTCACCATTAAGACAGAGACCTTTCATAAGTGTTGTCAATGTTATGGTATTTGGCTGATAACCCCTCTTGAAAATGTGACCTACTACAGAGAAAGCAAAAGTCATTTGACCCATGTGGCAGTAACAATTGATCAACATATTCAAATTAAAGATGTCTGGCTTAATTCCCCTGAATTCCATCAGTCTAGAAAGGGAAATAACAGTAGGATAATGCTTCGTCTTCATAAGGGACCCTAAAATCTTGCCAAATTCCATTACGGGTGGGGTTGGATGCATATGGAGCATGCGATTGAATAAGGCAACGGCATCATCATCATCAGCTTTGTGAATGAATGGAAGCTGAGACTGAGACTGAGAAGAATGAGAGTATAGCATTGAGGTTGAAGAAGGGAACGAAAGAAGGAAAGTGGAGTTTGAAAGAAACCTTAGGGTCGAAACGGCGTAGCTTAACCTTGACCTTGAAAGTGACATTGTTGTTGCATTCAACATGTGATGGCAGCAGCAACCAATTGTGTGCACATTTGAAAGGGAGAGCAGAGAACTCGAAGCAAAAAAACGAGGGTTTTCAGTCTTTCCAAAAATTGAAATTCGCTATGCATTTTTTGTTTTGTTTTTTGATCCCTGTGCTACCTTACTCTCTCTCTCTCTCTCTTTTTGTACAGTTTATGCTACCTTACTCTTGCAGTACATAAACTTATCGCAGCATCTACTAGAATTGAAAAAGCATGACTCCACTAATTGATTTTAATTAACTTTTCTTTAATGTTAATATCATATGGGTCCCATTTATTTTTTAGTTAAGAAATATATTACTGGACTAACAAACCGCATATGAAGCGACATAAGTCCCAAAAGGTAATTATGTAGATTTTATTTCTTAAAGAATCGATAAAAAAAACTATTTTTCTAATAACATGGTAAAGTTTTTTACACATATAATATTTGTGGGGTCCGTATTTTTTGAAACAAAAAAAAAATTAAGGCACGGAAAATGAATCTCAGTAACATAACACAATCACTTTTCCTACAACATAACTCTTATAAAATCTTTTTCTAAATTGAAAATTTGATTATTAAGTTTTCTATTTAAGGTTTTTTTTTTTTCCTTCTAAATTTGTTGAAAATGTTATCAAAGTAATCATTAATGTAAAACGCTTTATTACTAGGATCAATTTATTTTTAAGTTTCTCGTTGTCCAAATAGAGGAACGATCCGTTTACAAATTTTTACAAATTACACTATCTTCTTCCAGTAGTGTTCTTTTAGGAGAAAATAGTGTAATTTGAAAGAGTTTGTAAACAAAAAAATTTGTAAATATAATCTGCTCTTTTAAAATATTGATTTTTTTTTTTTAGATTTTTTCACCGATTCAATGATTTGATTGACTAATTTGGTCTAACCAGGTAGGTGGTAGGACCACAAGGGCGGGCTGGGTGGCAAAATTATCTCTATGAAGTTTTTAACACAGCTATATATCTAAGATTCAAATTCAATACCATTGATTAATTAGAATAATCTTATACCAGTTGATCTACATTTTGGGGTTAAAATGTTAATTATAGGGACAACCAAATGAATGCTAAAAGAACACATTAAATTTATCAGGAAAAGTTCTGTTAGGTAAAGGCTAGGAGCATGAGTTTGAGCATCTTTATTCTTTTGAGAGGATGGATGTTAACGGGCCAAGTTGAGCTGAGCTTTGATCTTAAAAGGCTAGGCATGTATTTAAATGTGTTATTCTGACCAAGCCTGTTACACCAAAAAAAAAAATAAGACAACAAAAATTTATCCAAATAGAATATACAATCAACAACATTAGTAATTCCATAAATATTCATAAATTCAATGTATATCAAAACAACATAATATACAACAAATCATTTAAAAAGTCTGTTTAACCAATAAAATGGGATAAAATGGATTGAGGAAAGAGATAGAGAATTATTACAAGTATTATGAAAAATATAAAATATAAATTAATATACTAGACCAGGCTGAGAGGCTCTAAGACCGAGCTTTTAAATTAGAGCCTGAGGCCTTTTTATTAAACGAGCTTTTATACAAGTCCAAGTTTGGTTACAATAACCAATTTTAGACATGTAAGCTCAAGTCTTCACGAGTTGAGCCAAAGGCCCTTAGGCCCCTGATTCATTTATCATCCCTACTTTTGACTTGTCATAATTGATAAATATGAGTAGCAATTGTAGCCACATCTATATTATTTTGTGTCCAAGATTATGCAGACAAGTTTTACTAGCCAATTGAGCCAGAACCACGACTAGGGGTGTGCAAAATAACTACAAAAATGAACCGAACCATGAACCAAACTGAAATGCACTTAAAATAATTGGTTTTTAAAAACTAGTTCATGAACAGAACCAGTTTTTAAAAGAACCAGTTCATGAACCGAACCGATTTTTAGAACGGTTTAAGAACCGAACCGTTTCCGAACCCATCTGAACCGTTTTTGAACCAAACCAATTTGATTTTTATAACTTTATTTTTTATTTTCTTTTTTCTTTTTAAAATAGGATCAACCCGAACCAATTCCGAATCGAATCGAACTGAACTGAACCATTTCCAACCGAACCGAACAATTTTCAAACCGAACCATTTAAACCAATTCGGTTCGGTTTTTCAAAAAATTCGGTTCGGTTCGACCCATGCACATCCCTAACCACGATCATATACGAGTAATCAAATGGAATGCACATGTTGATAATTCATCTAGAATTCACCATATTTTTTCGTTAAATTAACTTAATTTACTTTATAATTCAATAAATGTCTTTAGCTCAACTTTATAGTTCAGAATTGGTTGATGATAATTTGTGATTTATTTATGGGATAGGTTATTTTACTTACTTTTTTTTTGTATATCTTTGCCTACCACTCCCCAACATTGTTAGATCGGACTCTAAAGAGGAGAGATAAAGATAAATGTTAATTAAGATTTTGATCTAATGGAATTGAAGAGTGGTAGACAAAGGTAGGCAGAAAAAAGGTAGATAGAATAATTTATTCTTTTATTTATATATTTTGGAGTGTAGTTTATGATAATTTATGATTGAAAATGTTACATCATAATATTATATGGGATAGATTATTCTGCCTACTCCTTAATCTGCCTACTTTACCTACCTGTCTCAACACTGTTAGATTACAATCTCATCCAATGGTGGAGATTTGCAAGATAAAATAAACTCTTTTACGCCTTTCTCTCTCCTCTTCCTCCCATCTTTTCTCTCTCCTCCCATTCTCCAAATCTTGTTGCCTTGAGCGAGTTCTCCCTCATTAATCTTCACGACAACATCTCCGACCATCAAATATGGGTGGTGGTGGTGGTGGGGGATTTATTGATTGTGGAGGATTGGAAGTTGTTTGTGCTTGAAATCTAGTTTTCCAGCTGCGGAAAACCTTATGAAATATTTGTTGTAGGAATCATAAGATTTCAAGGATTTCTTGATAGATTGCATCAAGCACAAGAGAAATATATGTTTTTAGATTACAATTAAAATTAAAATGGGAGTGGGAGAGTCAGTATTTGGTGATCAGAAAATTAATTATTATTTTTAAATAATGGCTTTTTGAGTTTTGAAAATTTTAGATGGAAATGGTTTTTCTCGGACAATTTGATGATTTGTGGGTTTGATTTAGCTGTCTGCTGGTGAAGTTGAACTCCAAACACTTTCTTCCAGGGATGAGAGAGAAATGATGGGAGGCAGAGGAGAGAAAAAGGGATAAAAATATTTATTTTATTTTATAAATCTCCATCATTGGATGAGATTATAATCTAACGGTATTGAGAGGGATAGACAAAGTAGGAAAATTAAGGAGTAGGCAGAATAACTTATCACATATTATGTTTATATTTGTAGAGGAGCGCTATTCTTACAACCTAAAAGTTTTACAACCTATTTTTTCACCGTTGATTTCTATTAATCCAATGATTATAATTTATTGAAATTCATAATTAACTAATAAATGTGACCTAATAAATTCAAATCGTTGGATTGACGGAAATCAACGGTAAAAAATAGGTTGTAAGCGAAAAAAGTTGTAAGAATAACGCTTCTTGTAATGTTACATCATAATATTTCAAAACAATCTAACATTATAAATATGGGTTCACTCTTTCTGCAGTCACTGCAGATAAGTTATCTGTAGTAAGCCCAATATGACGTCGTTTTGGGACGGAAATCATAGTGTTTTTGTAATTTTAATTTATTTCAGGATTATTATAGTCTTTATACTTATAATTTTTTAATCTTTCAATCCCAAAATGACGTCGTTTTGGGAGTAAATACAGATAATTTATCTGTAGTAACTGCAGAAATATTTTCTGTATAAATATATACATAACATTTTCATAAAATTGTGCCAAGATATTTTCAATATTATGAATGTATAAAAGTTGCTTCAATTTTATAACTCTAACATGGCAGAAAATGTTATGTATATATTTGTAATGTTACATCATAATATTTCAAAACAATCTAACATTTACAAATATATACATAACATTTTGTGCCAAGACATTTTTATAAGCATGATTTTTTCTATTCATCGGAGCTCTGTACTTTGCAAGGGTTCCCCCTGCTTCATCTTGTCTAAAGAATTTGTTCCTTGACTTAAGAAAACCCAGTTTCTTAACCATACATATATTTAAATTTGTTAGGAATGTGGCTTCCATACTCAAAAGGGGGGATGAATTGAATATTACAAAATTTTCGCAAAAGCCCCCTTCTAGTTTCTAAATAATCATTTCAGGCAAACTTTGATATGTGGAAAGCTAATCAATACATTCAAACAATCCATAATATATAATATATCACAATTATAGAACTTATTCTAGCACATACAAGGTATCAAAGAAGAAATCAAAGTGCTAGAAATAAAGAGTTTAGAGTTTAGAGAATTGCAAACACAATATATCCTGGTTTGGTCACCACCACTTATGACCTACGTCCAGACTGAAGTCGCTCGATCAACTCTTTCACTAATGGTCAAGCTTCACGGGTGCTTGACAAACCTTTACAATCTTCCAAGACTTCGGGTTCTTGGATACCTTATAATCCCCAAGTTTACGGTTACTTGGCAACCTTATAATTCACTCCAAATTTACTTAGGTATTTAGCTACCTTTCAAACAATGGGTCTTACAACCCTTTCAACTCAAGATACAAGGAGGAAAATATTTGGAAATGAATATACACTCTCAAAGTGTGGATATACAACTTGAAGCACTATGGGTATATGAATTTTCAAGATATGAACTCAAATATGTTTGATCTTTGAAGGATATAAAAGAATATGCAGATGATAGTGTAGAAGCTCTCAAATCATCCTTAAGATGTGTAGGAATAATGATCAAATCGATTTAGGGTCATAAGGAATGTATTTATAGTGATTTTTCTCAAAACTAGCTGTTTATAGCCGTTATAGGCTTTCTGTCGCAGGGGGAATCGTTTC